ATATACATACACACACACACACAAACCTCCTGCTGATTCTAGCCGATTGGCTTGGCTGACTACGAGCGCACACAGCCCGACACGGCAACAGCGATATTGCTTCAAGGTCAGCCGGCTTCTCTGCATCGAGTCTTCGTTGTCAGGGCCGGGGCCCAGAATCTGCAGACTTTCGCGTTTACCAAGTCGAGGCTGCTCACATGACTCGAAACGCGGGGTCAGCGAAATGCCTCAGGCATGAAGGCTTTTGCGAAGTGATCCAGTTCGTCGGCGGCATCTTCATCGAGAACGACACGTTGGTGCCAGATGCCGAAGTTCTTGTCGCGTAAGCGTGAACATAAACAGGAAAGTCGTTTCACACTCACGGGCGTCAGTTCTCCAATCGTCCTTTAATGTCGTCGAATCGTCACTGGTACAGACTCGCGCTCCGATCGATTCCAATCGCAGGTCCTCACCTATGGCGCAAATGACTGTGTGGCTCAATTGCAAACAATGTTTATGCATGTTGCATGAAAGTCACGTGAGATTCCGGCGCTTTCGCGCAGCCTGTTCCTCATACATACATACTGACTCACACTAGCATACCAACACACAGGCACATACACCTTGCATCACATACACCTGCATACATGAATAGTATCGTTTTTCTCGTTTGTAGTCACCCGGAACCCCTCCCCCCGCGGAACCCGAGACCCGGGTTCCGGTAACCGGGACTTGCAAACAACAACCACCACCAAGCGTCGAGACTCGGAACCTGGACCATGGAACCGGGTACCCGGGCCCGGTCCCCGAAACCCGGTACCCGGAACCCAACAACAACAACACCAACACCAACAGCAGCAGAAGCAGCCGAACCCGGCCTGGACCCAGGACCCTCGACCCGAGAACCAGGCCGGGACCCGGAACAGGGGCCCCTTCGTGCAAGAAAACGATATCCCCCATACATGCTCACATACTTACTTAGTTGCCTACTTACATGTACACATACATACCTTGACATACACATACGCAAACACATACCATGCATGCATGTACAGATACATGCATGTAGGCGTAGATACGGACAAACGACATGCGTACATACATACCCTAACATGCACACAGGCGCACACACACACACAAACACAAGTACACATGTACCTACACATGTCACATGCACATACAAGTACACGTACACAGGCAGACGGACAGCTAGCGAGCTAGCCAGCCAGGCAGTCAGACATACATACACAAGATACATACGTAATTATATGTGCATGTATATGTATATATATATGTACATATATATATATATATATATCTATAGATGTGTGTGTGTGTGATATGTGTGTGTAACTCTCTCTCTCTCTCTATACCATCTCTCTCTCTCTCTCTCTCTCCGGATACTTTGCGTTTTTCACTGTCTCTCTGACCCCCTGTCTGCTTACACAGAGAGAGAGCACAGCGACTGCTAACACTTGCCCAAGTATGCAGACAAAGGAGCCTCGAGCGACTGCTCTTCCGCTGAGCCATGTGCTGGCTATGCTGCGATCTGCACGCTCCTTCACTCGGTCCGAGCTGTGAGCTCTCGGAGAAAGACCACTTCGACGTAGCCATTCATATCCTTCGCTGCCCACGTAGTCTGACAGGAACCACAGACTTCTGCCTTCGAGGTCTCCGCACTCGCCGGAAGGCTCTGCACGGAAAACTTTGTGACAATTCAGTCGCCGGACATAGTTCTTCTTGCACGGCCGTTTGTCGCAGGCCTGGTGGCAACAAGGCCATATCTCCGGCAGACGGGGCCAGTCCACATCTATCCGAAAGGAGCGAAGGCAGTTTTTGTTTAGCGATGTCTGTCCTGCCCGTAAAGGCGGCTATTGACTGAGCTGCAGCGAACCTCCTCGTTCCAGATTTCTGTCTTTGATCGCTTGGAGGACGGGGCGCTTGATGAGACTCTCTCAAGGTTGGCGCGAACACACATGCCGATGAAGCCGTCGCCGGACATCAAGGCCAACGCAGAGCAGTGAGGAACAAGTTGGTGCGATGACACTGAGAAAGGCGCAGTCCAATCAAAGCTCAAGGAAGTCTAGGAATGTCTTCTTGCCCATACTTCCCGATGTTTCCGGAGTGAGTGAGCTCCGTACAAACGCAGACCACTCGAACAGAAAGCGTCCGCTGTTTCGATCAGGATCAGCTGCAAATCGTGCATGCCGACCCGTCGGGAGCTCACGGTGCACAGGGACAGCTGCTCCTTGTCGTGTTTGACGTCCACTGTCGCCAGGGCCGTAATTCTCATCCCGAACCTTTGGAGTCCAGAGGCAGGATGGCTAACTGAACATCGTGATGCCTCTGTGTTATGTGCGCGCACACGACGGTTTGGGGCAGCAACAGCAACACATAGAATTCTGATCATAAGCACATGTTGAGCACAGCGACTCGCACTTGGGAGGCCTGTGAAAGGCTCATCTTCACCGCAAAGTGCAGCGACTGGGCTGCAAGACCCAAGGGTACAGGTGCCTATGGCCGCCGTCATGCAAGCTGATGAAACAACTTAGCGTCAGGTCTCAGATCACCCCCCTCTCACAGTAAGGCGGCGCAATGCGGCAGAATCTCGGCACAAGAAGACCAGCCTTGGAGCATGAGTTCCCTCAATTTCAATGCAACCCATGTGCGCAGAATGTTTCTTCAGTCAAGCGCAACCAAGATCTAGCTGTAGCGGCTATGGCGTTGCTCCGGGTGAGGCGTGGGCAGTATTGGACTAGTGAAGAGGTTCAACAATGTTTCAGAGCTGCACCATCGGAATGCGGATGTCAATCTCCCCGACTATGTGCACCGCTGCAGGCACAGGCTGCAAGGACCAGTGGCAGTGTGTGCCCGGCTTGTTCACCGCAACGAGGGGGGTGTTCCCAAGCTGCAAACTCGGCAGGTCGTCCTGAAGCCTGAGACTCCCCGCAGGTCGGACTGCACGGGAAGGATCGGCAGAATCACGACTGAAGTTGTATTGGCTGTTCTCAATGTCGATCAAGAAAATTGACGACTGCTACGATTACAGTGTTGCCATCGCCACCACTCCCGACAGCTGGTATTCATGCTTGCAACAACCAGCCGACCAGCAAGAACAAAAGATTCAGCCATCTTCCTGCAAGTGGGAAGCGGAATGGCCAGGTATGGGGCCGAGGCATTGGCCCGGAGCCAAGCACTTTCACTTTGTGACGGGAACTGGGTCTGGGGGAAAACATAAACCATGAAATTGAGGCTCGCACCTCGGCAGCGGTTCACAGCGTGAGGGGAACTGACTTTCATGCTGCAACAGTGGCTAAAGCTATGAGTATATGAGGCAACTTCTATACGGTGTATTATTAATACTCTAAAAATAGATATCGCTACATGCATAGGATCTCACTCTGAGGTAGCAGAAATCGAAGGACCTTTCTCTTCCCCGAGCCTCAATGGCTGACGGAAGGAGAGAGTGCGATGCTCATGCATGCAAGTGCTTTGACCCCAACACCAACCAGCCATGCTGCAAAGCTACTTCATGAACATCAGAGGTAGAGACTGGCTCTGAGAGCAGCATGATGTCGGATGACTGTCGCGATTGCTTAGTGTGGCATGTGTGAGACTAACAATGTGACGACGTGGAATCCAATCTGCATGTTGCAAGGTCCGGAAGCTGTTTCGCGACCTCACAGGAGTCAGAGACTTGGAGTTCGGAGCCGCAGCCACTCACATTGCATTCACGACGCAGCTCAGCCAACGACTAGAAGGACTCTGAATACGACGACGAGCAAGACTACCACACGGTGTTGCTGTTGAGGTTTCTCCTGCCACTGCTGCTAGTGCTGCTACTGCAACTGCCTCTGCTGCTGCTTCTGCTGCTCCTACCACCACCACCCACGACGAAGACGAAGACTTTTGCTCGTGGTGCCAAGGTGCTGGGTGTTGGTGGCACTGATGCCAGAGTCTACACGGCAGAGTATCCACAGGCATTGCTGTGGCTGGGCAGCTTGCCTCCACCTCCTCTCGACAGTTCCATTTCATCAAACATCCAGGTGGTTCGGTACGAAAGGGGGCAACGCTTCGACTTGCATCAGGCGAGTGCCTGCATGCTTGCGGGGAGCCTTTTGTAATGTCTGAGCACACGGTGTGTCCTGGTGGCACCACTGTTGTACCCCACAGGACGCTTTCGCTTGGGAGCAAGCCCACGAGGACAGGCCACCCCTGGCGACCCTCTCTTCCCCAAAATTGTGGAACTGTTCTTCTTGCCGTCAAAGGACGGGTATCAACGCCACGCTACGCTCTTGGTGTACCTGAACACGGTGGGCTTGGGTGGGTCCACCAGGCGAGCTCCGGGTTTTGCTGGAGCACTGCCGCTTCCTTGCAAACCTTGCACCCGAGCTGCGCAGGTTCCCGGAGTTGGCAGTGGATGTTCAGCCGCAACGTGGTCAGGCCAGCCGGATGCAGCCGGATGCTTGCTGTTATTTGCTAGGGATTGCGAGGATGAGTCGGAAGTAGGAAGCACTCCGAAGCCATTTCTGATCACTTCGACTTCGTCGACTTTTCCGTTGCTCAGTCTTGTGCCAAACATGGCGGAGAAGCGCAAGCGCGAGG